GGTTCGCGGGTTTTCGGAGCACAGACCGCAGAGACAGAGCGAACGTATTCAGAAGCCCCTGCGCTACTTCGCTGCGAGAGGATATCTGGGGCAACGCCCTGGAATTCTTGCTGTTCTCCTCATTCGTACTGGACCAGTCCACCGAAGACAACGCGACGCGTTCGCGCGCGAGGCGGAAACTGTCGCCGTCTGGAAAATGATGCGCGTTTTTTCAGCAGTCGCAAACGTTGTGCTGTTGACGTCGGCTTGCGTTGTCTCTGGTGCCGCAACTTGGATGATCACCGCCTTTGCCGAAACTTCTGGACGCGAAATGTAAGCATAAGAGCGTCGGCATTAGGCTGCGCCTCGAACGTGGCGAACGATTCAATGCCTTGCTGGGGCTCCGAAGGACAAAGCCTCGTACGCCATATGTTCAGAAACCGGGAAGGATTTGACCACAACACTGTTGCATGCCAGCTGCAAACAAGCTGTTTCTGCTCCCATCGACACGCGTCTCCTCAGTTCAAGGTTGTGTTGCTCTCATGTCAAAACCAATCCCCCGACTTCAGGTTTGTCCCGGTGGTTGCGCAGTTTTTTCCTGCAAATTCATATCCGTTTCAATGATCATGTAAGCGCACGATGTCGGCAACATATTATACAACGATTTAGAAACCCAGCTATTCTTCCCCAGAACCACCCAGGAAACACTGGAGCCCCTGATGGGGCCCGAAAGCTCGCCTAAACCGCGATGCGCGGCGCGCATGCGACGTCGAAGCCGTCGTAACCACAGGACACGCAAGTTACAAGTCCCACCTCTGCATCCCAAGAAACACAAACATGCTGATAGGGTGCGTGACCCATCGCCGGATTTGTCCGGGAGACAACGCTACTCTTGAGATGGAGGGGTTTCATAATCACTGCTTCCGATCGTTGTCGGCGGTTTTCCATCTGACCTAAGAAATTGGCAGCATGATATGTCTGCAACAACTTGCGTACATAATCAAGCTGTATGAAGGACGGCCTGGGTACAACAACTCCTGGGGAGAGCTAATCGCCCCCGCTCGGCGTGACCACCCACTTGCTGTGGCATTCTGGGTCATCAGTGACAGCTCTGTTACTGAAGTGAAAACAACAGTTTTTAGTGTCACACTGATCTGATACATTCTTGCCCAGCACTTCGAGGTCCGCGCATTCGCACAAACACACAAACACACGCACGCACGCACGCACGCACGCACGCATGCACGCACGCACGTTTTTTCGGTCGTTGCTGGCGGGCGACTCGCAGCACCGTCAGACGCGCCGCGCGGAGAACCGCGCGCGCGCCCAGCCGCCAGAAGAAAGGCGAAGACAAAACAAGACGGTCGGCCCCTCACGGGCCAGCGGCTGGGTGCGGCGGCGGGGCGCCGGGGCAGCGATGGCAGCGGCCAAACCGGCCCGAATAAGGACTACAGGGGGCCAGCAAGACAAGGGAAACGAAGGCCAAACAAAGAGAAGGAGAAGCGAGGCGGGAGGGGCGACAGCGGACGCCAGAGGGAGGAGGCGAACGGACGCGAGGGACGGGCCGACGGGGAAGGGGAAGCCGAGGGGAAGGAAGGAGACACCACGCATACAATGGTACGAAGAGGGAAAGGAGCCAGCCGAGGAAGGAAGCGGAAGGGGAGAAGGAGGCGCAACACAGTGGCAGGGGAGGGGCCGAGGGCGGCCGAAGGCCCGCCGAGTGGGCAGCGCACGCGGAGGCCGTGCCTCGGGAGGGGGAGGGGCGACGGGGAGAGAAGGAGGCGACGACGACAGGAGCACAGCGAGGAGGACGGGAGAGGAGGTCGGGCGCACAGCAGCGGTAAGGTCGGCTGTGGGACGTGCGGATTAGCCTCCCTTCGGGGAAAGTAAGGCGGAATACCCCACGCCCAAGAGGAACTGGGAAGCATGTGCAGATGACCCCCGCACGGGGAGCGGACTACCCCTCCCCAAAGGGAGTGAAGTGAGAACGTGCGGATGACCTCCCGCGCGGGGGGCAAGAGAAGCGCGTCAGGGAGACCCACAGAATGGAAGAGTCCGCCCGCACCCCTGACGTCCGCGAGAATGGTCCCCCTACGGCCTCGCGTCGTCCAACCGGCCTGGACGGACCTGGGCCCACCACGGCCACGCATCGGACGCACAATTCGACACCGCGGTTCGGAGGAGGGGAGGAGGAAGAGGGCGAACAAGGAGGAGAAGAGGGGAAAGCGCGCTCGACGAGCGTCCTAGGCCCGCCGCGGCCTCGCACCGCCCAGCCGGCCTTGACGGACCTGGGCTCAAACAAAAGAGGCCCCGTCTCATCCTGGCTGTTGCCGCGAAGATAGAACGGGTGGTGAGCCAATGGCAATCGAAAGTGAACGGGACACCCGCGAAAAGAGGAAATGGAAGTGGTCACAACCGAGCGCGCAGAACTGATGCCCGGAAGCTTGAACACACTGCAATGGACCGACAATAACAACACAAACACACACACACACACACACACACACGCATGTTGGGCGTCGCGGGCGGGGAGAGAATGCCGATCGGTAGTCGCCCCTGGCCGGGCTAAACGAGGTTGAGGAGCCACCGAGCCCTCACAAGCAGTCGCGAGGCAAGGCGGCGCGACACACACACACAGACACACACACACACACGCGGATACACGCGGATTGCAGAACGACGTGAACACATTGGCACACACACGCCCTTTTTGCGTCGGCGGCTGGGCAGAGTGACTGCGCTGGCGATGAAGTGTTGGAAGATGAACACGTTCGAATTCAGCCACCATGCTGCACACACAAGCACACGCACACGCACACGCGCGCGCACACACGCAGGGTCCTTCTCAACAAACCCCGAGGCAATGGCAGACTGGACAGACGCTAACGCACATGCTGATTTCTGCGCGCTCGGGTCCAGCATCAAACGCTTGGGGGCAAATTGTAGCAGGTTGGATACAACATTCAGTTTCAGCAGTCAGAATTCAATCATACCAAGTGATGCTATGCTGGGCAGGCAACTGTGGGGGACCGTGGCGCCAGAATCATCAAACATGCGCTCTTGTTTGTGGGCATCGCGCGTTGATCCAAACAGGACCGTTGAATCATTGAATTGGGAATGGCATAGGGCATATGATCACCTGTCCAACGACTAATACACGCACTATGCTCCTGCTCTTCTGGATCACACTACCGACCACACCACAAAGAACACGAGCTGCCAGTGCAATGCCCAAGACCAGATCTCTGCAACGGAGCGGGTCCTCCCTGATCTTCGTGACTTCCTGGCCCTTCTTCGTGTCGGCAAAACTCCGCATCGCAGTGCCCTCGCGGGCGAAGGGCTGGCGACCCGCCCTTCTAAAGTGCGGCAGCTTGCACCGGGCCAATGGTGCTCGCCCCAAGGCGGTAAGGAGACGGACAAGGAAAGGGAGACGGAGAAGAAGAGGAAGGACGGAGAAGAACAGGAAAACGGAGAAGAGGAGGAATAAGACAAAAACACCCCCATCCTCTGAGTACCACAAGTGCCGCAGCCGTGTGCACCGATCCCGCCTGGTCCTAAAACGCTGTGTCGCTGTGCCATCCTCCCGCCTCCGAGAGGCCAGAATCTCAGAGGTTCCAGTCGTTGCGGATGCTGCTTGTATCGCGATGGCCACCTTTCTTTTGCCTTCAGCACATGCGCTTGCACATTCAATATGTCATTCGGCGGGTGGGTCAACACGTTCTGGTGCTGTTCGTGTGTCCATGCGGCGCTCGAGTTGTCGAGCTCCGAACTGCACGTGCGTCCCTTCAGGCGCTCGTAGGCGCTGGCGCGGGCAATGCGGCAGGCGGCAGGCTTCGTTCCGCAGCAGTTCTCGTGCGCCCGACCCTGGCGCAGATCTGGATCAGCCTCCAAGCTCTGGGCCGAGCGGCGCAGCACGCCAGGGCACCCGTGCTTTGCAAGGGGCAGTGCATGGCGCGAGGTGGGTCTGCTTGGCCGCCGCGGCGCGAGTACAATTCGCGTGGTGCCACATGCTGGCCTTAGCGCCGCGCACACTCGTTTTGCCAAATGTTCAACATGTTCGGACATGCACGGGGGATGTTGTCAAAATGTGGTTTTCGCTCTAGCGCTGCGCAGATTCGTCTGAAAAGCTTGCACCCCTCTCATGGGTAGAGAGGGCCGTTGTCAAAATGGCCCTCTCGCCCTCAGCACCTCGCGCCTCGCATATTAAGTTTGAAATAGGCTAGCGCTAGCTTCACAGATGGAGGGCGGTTCCTTTTCCCTGGGGTGGGGGGGGCTCGCCTTGGCGCCGCGGGAATTCGCCTGAACACCTTGCAACAGCTTCAAGGATTGAGCACTGGTCGTTTTCAACTTGGCGATCTCACCTCAGCGCCGCGCGCGCTCGCCTGATAATGCAACGTTCATCTCGATGTAGGGATGTCCTGTTTCAAAATGGGATTATCGCCGGCAGCTTCGCTACGCCAAATACTCGGACCTTCACCACATGTCGCGCTTTACTGATCCGTGGTGCCGCTGTTTCAGATTGTAGTTGTCGCTCGAGGCGTCCTCGAAGTTCACGACCTCAAGTGTAAACTCACGCAACGGTTGCACCGATGGGGAAGCGGTCCTTCTTCGGAACAAAGAATATCACTGGACACCCCGTTGAACTGCGCGATCACTTTTTTCGCGTTCCAGGTTGCGCGAAACAAGTACGTATGAAAGGCAATGCCGTGTCAAGGCGGGGCCATAGCCAAAATGACAAGCCCCAATATGCTGGCCGTTCAAAGAAAGGACGCTACCTGTGGTGAACATGGAGAATTGCAGGGGCGTGCGAGGGGGGGAAGTGGGACGGGAGGCGGTATTGCACCTTGGCTTATGCATCTTTGGTTTACTGTGGTCCTCCCTCGGCAAGCCTCCTCATCCTCCTCTTTCTTCCATTCCTCCACTCATCCCTCCTCAACCTCCTCCTCCTCTTGCCGGCTATGATATCGACCCAAGGGTAGAAAAAAAGGGGCCCAATGGCTCGCGTCGGGCAGCCTTCTTTCTCAGCGCCTGCTGCTCCTTGTCCACCTTTTCCCTGGCGGAACCCGCCGCGCGGATGACATGGCGGCGGCAGAAGAGAGAAGCGGAGAGAGGGAGAGAGACAAAGAGAGAGAGAGAGAGGAAGGGGAGGGAGGCTGAAGGAGAAGGAGACATGGGAAACAGGAGGGTAAGACGAGGGAAGGCGCGAATGAATAAGGATGACAGGGGAAGTAACGAAGAGGGGGGAGAGGTGAAACAGGAGGGATGGGAATGTGGGCAGAGAGGAAGCGGAACAATGGAAGCGAAGGAAAAGAGGGAGGGGCGCGCACGTTTCATCGAACCCTTGTAAGAGCAAGCCGCACTCAACGTCGCGACACTCGGGTGGCACTTCCATGCGCGTGAAAGTCGGCTTTTCATGTGATTGGCAGCGGCGCCAATTGCGGCTGCGCTGTCCTCGGGATGGTCAGAGGAGGAGGGATAGGAGGATGAGGGGATGGAGGATGACGGGGGGAGGAGGAGGAGGAAAAGGAGGAGGAGGAGGAGGAGGAGGAGGAGGAGGAGGAGGAGGCAAAGGCAAACGCGAATGCGCATAGGGGGCACCCCGCGGAGTCCTACTGCAACAAATTCAAGCCCCAACGAACTATATGGAAGCGGGGCGGGGGCAGCGCCCCCCAATGCCTATCGGGGCGCCGCCTGGCCCACTCAGAGACCGCGGAGCAGGCGTGCCCCGCCGCGGGGGGCTTCTTAGAAAAACGGAGCCCTCCTAGACAGAAAGGAGGGCGCTGCTGACCTCTAGTGAGGCGGGGCAACGCCCTCAAGAGGGGGGGGCGCTGCACTGCCTACTCGAGGTAGGGGGAACGCGCGCAGGGGGGCCGCGCCTCGGCGAGCGCGAAGACCACGCTCTGCGCCCCACCGGCGCCTGCAACCACCCGCGGCCCTCCAGAGAGGGGGGCGGGAGAGCGGGGGCGCGCGCGCGCACACACACACACACACACACACTCCACACAACGAGAAAGAGAAACATACTGAATCGTCTGGAAAAGGGCCCCTCACCTCGGGAAAACAACAAGGCCATCGCCATTTATACCAGAGACAAAAAAAGCCTGCACTTCTCTCCCTGGGAATAGCGGTGAAGGGGTTCGCTCGCACTGACCCGCCGGGCACTCTTGCATCCCGCCTCAGGAACCCCCATGCTTGAAACCTGCTCGTATCTGACCCCATATCCTACCCAGAACCGTAATATGCAGCGCTGTAGCTGGGGTCGGAGTTGGCCCCAATTCTTCCGCGGGCAAGGTTGGGCTGGTTCGGGATGGGCTGGTCCGTCGTATTTGTTTCGCGCGGTCGGGCAAGCCTTCGTCCGCAGCTAGAAGGCTGCCCCCTCGTCTCTTTGCAGGTCCTGCAGGGGCTCTGAGCACCGCTGGCCTCTGGGACCGAGCTGCGCTGGCCACTGGGGGGCTCGGGGCTCTGCGACCTCGGGGCCTGCTCCTGCGCCTCCGCCTCCGCGCTGGAGGCCGCCGACTTCTGGGGCTTCTTTGTCCGCCCATTGATATTCTTCTGCAGCTCCGCGATCAATTTCTCCGCCTCTTCCTGTGCGGGCACTTTCCCGACGTCCTCTGCGGCCTGCGTCATCTTCGCGTTGTCCAGGCCGTCGTCTCTCTTTTGTTGCTGGCGATCTTCTCGCAGTCGATCCAGAGCCCTGGCCTATAAACTATCCGCGCGGGATCCAAGTCTCCTCGCCTTCTGGGCCCCACAAGGGCAACTGCTGCTTGGTCCGCTGCTTTTCGCTGCTCATGTCGCTCTTCTCGTTCGAAGTCGGCTCGTCCATCAGCATGCCCGCGTAGCTCGCGTCACTCGGCGGCTCGATGTCGGTGCCAACTGGCCTCGTCACGAGCAGGCGATTCATCCTCGACAACTCCGCGATGCACATGGACAAGCCTTTCATCCAGTCGGCGCGGCGCATCAGGTCCTCTGCCTCTGCTAACTTCCCGTGGTCCGACTTGGCATGCAGCGCCTCAGAACTGATGGGGCTGAGCATTATGTTGCGCTTGTGGCCAATCAGATGAATGATTCCTGCGTCGACGTCGATCGCCGTCAAGGCCGGCGCGCTGCCCGCCCTCTAGACGTCGGCCTCTGCGCCCATCCGGACGCGCATCGCTTCTGCAACCTTGTCGCTGCTGCGCCTGACCTGGCCTGCGACCTCCACGTTGCTCTTGCCCCGCCGAGGGGACCAGCCCGCCTTGCACTTGAGCCCCGATAGTCTGCGCTGATCACCCGCTGGCGAGCCCCAATCGGCACCCCGCAATGCCCTGCCCCGCGCCCGCCGACCCATGTTCGTCGCGTCGGTCTCTTCAACGGGTAGCGGTTTTATCTTCATTCGGGGGCGCCGACGAATATTTCTGGACCTTTAAAAGGCTGTCGGGGTCTCAGGGTTTTGGGGGGCCTCCCGTGGGCTCTGGTGTTTCTGTTGTCGCAGCTCCTGTTGTTTCTCTCCTCTTGCTCGTTCTTGCCCCTCCCTAGTGCCGCCCCTGCTGCGGGCTCGTGCGCCGCGGGCCCCTTCGCCAGCTCGCCGCTCGGGGTCGCCGCCCCCGTCGCCGCTTGAGGCAACCTCTCCATCTCCTCCGCCCACTCGATCTGGGCCCTGACCGGCTCCATCAACGCGATGCGCGCCTCCCGGTCGCCATTCGCCCCGTCGTTGCCGGCGCGGCCTCCCGTGCTGCAGGCGGAGCTCCGGGCGTTCATCAGCATTGGCGCGCTCCTGAGCGTCTTTCTTAGCATCTGCGCCACCTGCGCCAACGGCCTGGAGGGCACCGCCATGGCGGCCATCGCGATGCTCGCGTCGTTGGCCGTCCGCGCGCCGAACTCCACGCCCCCCCGCGCGCCCCCCCCCCCCCCCGTTCAGCGGCGGCGGCGGCGGCCCGTCGATCAGCAGGTCTTATCTCAGCGCCCCCCGTCGATTCCGAAGCCGAGTGGGCTGCTCTGCTCTGCCCCGCTTCTCGCCGCCCATGCTGCCCCGGCGAGCGATCCTGGCCCCGCAAATCTAGGCGGCGGTGGAGGCGGTGGCATTTTATCCTGGGCCCGACCCCGTTGAAGGTCCTGTCCATCTCCTTCTCTAGCCATTGCACTTGTCCCTATTCTTGGAATCTTGGGAGGCGTAAGCAGCGTTCTTGATATCGCTCTCTCTCTCTCTCTCTCTCTCTCTCTCTCTCTCTCTTTCCTCTCTTTTATTATTAATTATTTGTTTGTTATCTCTCTCTCTCTCTCAATCGCTCTCTCTTCTCTTCTTGTCTCGAATCCTACGGCGTCATCGCCCCCTTTCCGATAGCTGGGGGGGGGGGGGTCGGGCTGGGTTGCTGAGAAGAGCCGCAAGAACGCCTACGTATTGATCTGGCGTCGTTTGTAATAGTTTTTTCCCGTTCGACTCTCTCCTTCGCGTCTGCAAGTAATGATGTGACTGATGTACATCGTGTAAGTAGGTAGTGTCGTGCCAGTAGCAGTAGCCGACTTGTCCATTAGCCTGTTCTACCAGAACACAGAGTTGCAGATGTCAGCTGTCTACGACATCTCTCCCTCCCTCGCTCTCTCTCTCTCTCTCTCTCTCTCTGAAAACCATTGCTAGATCATGCAGTTGTTTGCTTCTGCTGCCACTTTAACTAAAGGTGCGTCGTTTACTGAGCTGATCTGGGTCCCGGCTAATCCTGTCTGCGATTTTCCCCTCTCGCCATGTCTCTGCGGGCCTGTTCGGGAGGGGGCTCCGAAGGCTGCGTTCCTGGAACAGACGAAGGGGTCGAGGAGGCAGCTTGCCCTGGGACTCTCGCTGGCACCCTTTCTGCTCTATTCCGTGGCTCACTGCCTAGCACCCTCTCGATCTGCATCTTCTTCCTCAAGCTGGCGGCCTCCACGTCTTCTGGGACTGCTGGGGCCGCTTCTCCACCGCGCGCCCCCGCTCCGTCTTCGGGCCCGCAGATTTCGCCCCCCCCCCCCCCCTCCCCCGAAACGCATCATCAAGTAGCCTGCCGCCATTCTGAGGTGGTCCGGCCTGACCCGTGGAGCGCCGCTGGCGTCTCCTCGCTCACCTCTGTCTTGCTCAAGATTACGCGGCACTGCGGGCGCTGGTTGATCACGAATGCCACTTTGGCCTCGGCGCGCTCGCTTCCTGGGCCCTCGACATCGCGACCGCATCGAGGCCCGCGGCATCACCGAACGATGGTTCGACTGCCGCGAGCCGCTCCAGCACGCAGGTCGATGCCCACTCAATGTCCTGCTCGGGCCCCCCCTGTCCATGATCTCCGGCGTATACCGCGGCCGTCTGCTCTAGTGGCGCAGTCTACCGCAAGTCTTCTCGTGGCGAAGGTACTTAGACTCCGCGGACATTGACTAATGATTACCTGTGAAGCGATGACGGGTCTGACATTGCGTTCCGCCCTCCTGTGCGCCAGTAGAGCAGCATAATCTCTGCCCGCGCCCTGCCCCCGCCCCCTCGGCGTCTGCGCGCGCCCAGTCGCGCCGGAAGGGTTGTTCTATTACGTCCGCCTCTTCTTCCACTTCCGGGGCTTCCTCCAGGGCATGGGGAGCGTCCTGCTCGTCGCGTTGTGGTCTGCTCCTCAAAACGCCGACGTCGGCTCGTGCCCGCCGTGCAGAATCGACGATCTCTGGGGTGAACATGTCCAGGTCGGATCTTCTGTGGACATGCCAGGCATACTCCCGCTAACGTGTCGATATCCACCGTCATCCCAGGGGGTAGTGCCGTCGCATATCCACCTTCCTTCCAAGAGTCTCCCCGCCCCCCACGGCTTTGCCCAGTCTCGAAGTCCCCGGGGCCGCTGCCGAGACCCGCCCGCGCACTCTGGAAGCGCGCCCAGTGTAGGTGCCATTTTGGGCGGCGGCCTCCTAGCGCGAGAGCACAACGGCCGATCCTCGCGTGGAGAAGCACCTACTTCGTAGCGTTGCATCTGGTACTGCCGTCCTCTCTCCCCCAAGTCGTGTATCCCTGACTTTCCTCATCAACTTTCCCACTTTAGTGTCCGGAGATCTGGTCAAACTTGCAGGAATAATAAGGGCTGCGAGACCGCTGAGAGCCGCCCCACGCAGCAAAAGCAATGAAGACGAATAGTTTTATTTGTCCGATGTGTCGCGCCACCATAAGCTGCCGCATTGCCTGAAGGCCCCCTTCGTCGCCTCTTCCCCCCTGCCGATTTCACCCGCCAGCCCCAGGCCCGAGGGTAGGCAGGGCCCTGGAATTCGCATCTCCCGCAAGGCAGTGCCCGGCACCCCCGCGGCTGTCCGCGGCCCCCTGATCGCGGCAAATCTCCCGCGGCCCGCCAGGCAGAGTTGGTGATAGGTCTTCCCTGGGTTCAGCGCCCGCCCTCCCTTCTCGATGGCCCTGGCGAGCTGCTGCGAGTTATTGTTGGAGATCTCGACTACTTGTCTTGTTTTTGCTTCCTGGGGGATCGTCGTCGTTTCCGTCGCGTCGTCCATGAACGCGTTGAGTGCGCGGTCGCGGGGCTCCCATGTGATGGGGTGCATCGTGTCGTGTAGTGTTTGTGCTTCGTCTGCCGCCCTAACCCCCCCTCCCATGCGTTCGCGTATATGTTGTGCGTGCCTTTGAACTGCCTTGGGCAGAGCGCAAACCCCATCTGCGCCCCTGGGCCGTCGCGCCGCGGACCCTACCGTCGGCGCGAAGCTCGGTGAGAGGAGGCAGGCGAGTGGCTCCGACTGCGCGCCGTGCACTTCGCCCTCTTCACTCGCGCGCCGCCAGGCGGGGGCCGCCAGAAAGGGGGCGCTTCGTGCTTGCACATGCGTTCGCGCAATCGTCATTGCTGCGCGCCGCACCGACCCCCCTGGTGGAGCTCTCCGCTGCGCGATGGCGACGCGCAATGCGGCACTGTGCGCGTGCCCACCTTGTGCCCGCGAGGGGTGCTCTGGTTGGGGCCCCCTCTTGCGCGCGCCATGGGAACGGGTCATTCCCGTGCTGCGGTGCGCGCGCGCGATGCCTTTGCCTGATGGGCCCTCTTCGTTATTGTGTTTATCCGTGTCGAATGCGTGCGATCTGCGCCAACCCAGCGGCGCGGTTCCAAATGCGCGGCATTTCAGGGGCACTTCCCTCAAACGGGAGAGAGGGGGGGGGTCTTGGTTGGGCGCGCTCCACCGCCCCCCCCCCCCCCGGTCGCGAACCCCCCGGTCGCCCGCGCGCGCCAGATCGCAAAGGGCAGCGCGCCCGAAGGACGTTGCGCCGGGATAGCTGGGTGGCCCCCTAGCGCGGCTGCCTGCCGCCACGCGGATCGAAAGAAAATGCGGGATTAAAGCAGTTGGAGGGGGGCGGGGGGCGCGCGGAGTGGGCGGGTGGGGGGGGGGGGGGGGCGCAGACGCCGACATTTCGACTGCCCCGTGCGCCGGCTGTTTTAAACTCTGGCCCCCCGCGAGAAATAAATAAAGCACTGGCCGCAGAAGGAGGCGCGGCGGGAAGGGGGCGGGGGGCGAGAGACGCGCGCTGCCCCACTCAGCGCAGCCAGCGCAACGGCGCAGCGCCGACCAAGGGGAAGAAGCAGGAGGAGACGCTGAGAGAGAGAGAGAGAGAGAGAGAGAGAGAGAGAGAGAGAGAGAGAGAGATACACATATATATATATATAGGGAGAGAGGAAGGAAAAGGATAAAGAAAAACAACAACAAGAGAGAGAGAGAGAGAGAGAGAGTGGAACAAAAAAAAAGGTGAAACAATGGCAGCAACAGGAACAATAAACAGGGCAACACAAAACAAGCAACAACAAACATATTAAGAAAATGAAGCAAACAAAACTAATTCTTGACCGCCCTCCGCGCCTCTTCCCCAAGGGGCAGGGCGATGCGCGGGGGGGGAAGCGCGTGCTACTCAGGACGTGCCGAGGCGACGCCAGTGCCGATTTTTCCAACCGCGCAGATCAGCAAGCGCCGTGGGCCTCCACGGGGGGTTCCGGAGAGAAGCGAAGCGCATCGCGCGCGCCGAGTGCGTGGATCATGAAACCAAGACTTTGCCACGCGGCGCGCGGGGGCTGGCTGGCGGGCGGCATTTGAGCCGCCGCGCCGCCATGGATCGAATATATATATATATATATATATATATATATATATATATATATATATATATATATATATATATAGATCACGCATTCATGCACGCGCGATCAAGAGACCTCGCGCTAGGAGAACAACTCGAACGACAATGCGAATTCCTGACCGCTCTCCACGCCTCTTCCCCAAGGGGCAGGGCGATGCGCGGGGGGGCATCACATGCTACTCAGGACGCGCCGAGGCGAAGCCAGCGCCGATTTTT